GACCTGCAGAACTCAGACCTGCACAACTCAGAGCTGCACAACTCAGACCTGCAGAACTCAGAGCTGCAGAGCTCCTTGCTCGCACAGAACGCTCCAGGTGGGGTTGGGGCAAACCAGGAGTCCAGCTGCCCCCTGGGCCATGCACACTTCTAATCCTGAAGTGCCTTTTGCTAAAACCATCTGGAAAAATCAGAGGCGCAGAGTTCTACCTTTCTGAATTCAGCCCCATTTCCAAACCCATTAAAATGACGCAGCCTCACGGAGGAAATGGCCGGAGGCTGGACTGAGGCTGCGTTGACTCCTGGCTCTCTTGCCAACCCCAGGCACTGTCGGCCCCAGCAGCCCCGCGCCCCCCGCAGCGCACAGCCACCTCCGGGCTTTTCTCCTGCAGGAACCTGGCCTGCCTGAAGCCCAGCGTGTGCAACACAGAGACCGATAAGAAGCTTAAACTAAAAGCGCGTGTCAGTTGGGAGAGGGGGGAGGACGCCGGGCCGGTTTCCTGCCCAGGAAGGGGCGCGGGGCGCCTGCAGGATCCCATCTGCACCGCCAGCCATCGACCCCGGCTGCGGCACCGGCAGCTCCAGCCGATCGGATCCGGCCCTGCAACGGCGCTCCGGGCCGCCTTTCATTTTGTCCTTTCCGCAGCGCTCAGAAATCGCCTGCAATCGTCGGCCAGGGCGCTACGGCCGCGAAGAAGAAATGCCTTCTGCACTACCTGCCGTGCTCTGAAGAGGGAGTCTACGCTCAAGCTAAACAAAGCCGACGTCCCGCAGCTCCGCCGGCACCGCCGAGCGGGACGGAGCCGCGCAGGACCGGCACCGGCGGGTTCCGAGCCCAGCGACAGCCGCGAGGTGCGGCGTACGGCGCGGCCCCGCTCCGAGCGGAGCCGGCGGAACACAGCGCAGGTCCCGGGCAGGAGGTCCCGTGCAAGCCGCTGTCATGCACCGAGCGCCTCCCGTCTGCGCTCCCGCTGCATCCTCATCCCTTCGAGACCAGCAAGCGCAGAGCTCTGCCCGCGCAGCCGCTGCCCGCTCCTGCCCTGCAGCACCGAGCGATCCTGGGCTGCTCGCCACAGCTGCCTTAACCCATCCCCGCTGCTTGGCAGCGGATCTCATTCCCTTGGCTCAACTTACTTCACCACGTGCTGAAGATGCACTGCCCAAGTTGTATTTGCTTTTAAAATAAGAGCCGGAGCTCGGCAGCAGCCCGGCGGAGCTGAGCTCGGCTCCACTTTAAGGAGAGCGAGACCAGACCGCAACCAGGGCGGATCTGCACGGCTGCGCTCCGGGCAGCCGCACCGCACGGTGCCGCGGCCGCTGAGCCCTGCCGTCGCTGCCCTTCCTCCCAGCTGTCGGAAGCCTTGGAATCACACAGCAATACCGCGGCGCGGCTCTGCTCGGATCGGTTCCTGCTGCCTCCTCCATCAGCCTCCTCTCCCTGAGCTGCCGGCCTGGACCCCCGCGACCCGGCCCCATTTTAAGCCGTGCATCGAAAGACCTCCACCCCGAGAGCCGGGCGGCGTGCAGGGACGCAGGG